AAAAACCCGCTACCATTGACAGAACAATCAGGCGTGGTCTACAGCATATCATGCCAGAACTGCGATGCAAAGCATGTTGGTGAAACGGGCAGACGCCTTGGCACAAGGTTACAAGAGCCGGCCAAGAAAATCGTGATCAACGTGGAACACTGCGTTACCGCCGCGCCAACGAGATTGACACCAAATCACTCGGCCAGCATAAACTGATTCGTCTGTCGGTCGATGAGAGGTGGGCTAGTATGAACGCTGACTTACGACAGCTGCAAAGGCGAAAAGGTCACACGAGCCCACCAGCGGTCAAACTCACGGACAGTCAGCAGAGAATAGGCAGGCGAAAGTTCGTGCATCAAGCATGACTATAATACCAGGCATGCGGCAAAACTGAAACAGTCCCGACAAACAGGAAAAATCACTTAGCTACTCTGACGATGAAACCGAGTGAGTGTCTGAAACGTCAGTCTCAATATAAATCGGTCCATGTCCTCGCATCCTCTCTTTCAGTTTCTTTGGGGGATGGTGAAGACGAATTTAAAATACTTTTTTTGAACTCGTTATCTAAGTAGTTACTAAGTCGGCAATACGAGTGCCACACACGCCTGACCCGTAAACGATGGGCTGCGGTTTCCCATAGAATAAAGCCAACGGTCCGGATGCCAAACTAGTAGAGGGATCACAGGCACCAAATGAAGAGGACCGAGTTAACCCGTCAGTCGGCAGCCTCCCTATCAAGGGTTCTTATCACATCATGATAGTTGAAAGCGCGCCGAAGACTGAAGTCTCGAACCATCCCCGTAACCCGATAGGTCAACACACTTTCATCATATTTGACATTCCTGATCACATCTGGCTGGACATCGGGTCCGTACCTCAGCCCAGAAGCGCTCGAATCAATTACCACAGTGCTGCACAACTAAAGTGGGGTATGACTTGCTGTGGACAATTTACCTGATATTTTTGTTCTGTACAAATGTCGTATATTATCTAATCTGTCTTCTCAGCTTCCTAGCTACTTTCAAATACGCACATGACTAAATTCCTTTTTAGAAAACGGCTTATGTCCTTTGTCTTTCGAAACTAGAATCAGACTGTGTTCCAGGAAAATGGGCACATCCGGGCTGAGGTAAGCAAGAGAGGAGAGAGATCCCGCTAGATGCTCTGCAAGTCTACTTTTACTACGAACCTATTCTCACGCAAGTAGTTGTCTCTTTACACCCACTTTACTATGATGCACATGGTATACATCGTCATTAGCAATGGTCGAGCTGACTTTTTCTGAGTGCCATGACAAAGAAAAACGGCAGAATCCTATTTTGGGTTCCAGATCAGCACGCGAAAGGTCTATTCTTCTGCAATACATGACCGGATGTAATAAAGAATATACCGTCTGGGCAATATAAAAAGAAGGAAATATTAACAAAAAATAAAGTTCCTCAAGGTGGAAAAGCAAAATAATTATTTAAATACTGTACTTTTCGTCGAAAAAGCGCGCCGTAACTAAAATGTACAATTATGCAACTTTAGGAAAGTAACTTAAGTAAAAAATAACTAACTAAAGCACGTTAACTAAAGTAAGGTAAACTCACTAAACAAAAAATAATCGAAGACTAAAATAAAAATAGAAATGAACTGAAAACTAAACTGAAAAGCGAACTTAAATATTACTAAGTTAAATAAACCAAATAAAATAAGCTAACGTAAAGTTACTGCGCATGTAAATTAAAGGTGTGCGCGGCGCTTCGGACCGCGAACTATACTTATTTAACTACAGAACGGTAAGATGGACCTCAAGTAATTTGATTGAGACAACCTCTTAACGACCAAATTGTTTTTCAGGGATATCAAGAAACCCAGTAAACTATAAAGTATAAGTAAGTAAAAATGTCCAAATTTGTAATACCCAATAAACTATAATTAAGTAAGAAACGTAAGACAACTTCTGTGTTTATGGCGCGCTTTTTTGTTTTTTAGACTATTTAAACAATTTATGGGACCCCAATTAGGATTTAAACCAAATGTAGTGTGTCGTCAGTTCCAGTGGTCGAACTATCTTTACCTGAGTGCCATGCATGACAAAGAAGATTCCTTAAAAAAACTCACAGCGGGTTTTGACTGGGCGGTTTGATTGGGAACTGTTAACCTTGCGGCCTCCCTAATATGCTGTGGCACCGGTTCCCCGGCATCCTCGTAAAAGATTGTGATACCCTGCAGCAGATTATCCCTCAAATTCAACACCTCCTTCAGATAGTTCGTCAGACTGGCCTTGTCGTTGGCATTGCCGCCTCGAGTGCTCAGATCATTGAGTGTCCAGCGTATTCTAGAGTAGTTTACCGCGTCCTCTGAGGCTGTGTAAATAGACTCCAGTTCCGAGAGCAGGATTCGACACTTTTCAATGCTACCGGAAAGACTCTCCTTCAACCAAACAACATCCATTTTTGGGCCCTGTGAGTCGGCCTGAACGTGAGTAGTATAAAACAAAAAAGTTCAATAACGCGCATTTTTTCTTGTCGTCAGCGTGAGCTTAAATGGGGCAAGTGAAATACACTGCCTTAAGGAGCAAATGTGGTCATGTCTTCAGATACATTGAATTATGCGCATGGAGATTTACTTTTACATAAATTTGAATGGCATCGAGTATTTTGAAAAAAGAAAACTGCTGACAGTCCGCGCGACTATTTGAGCTGTAAGAAAACAACTATGTTTAAATAAGCCAGCAGCTAAACACTTGCCTAATTGGCTTTTCAAGCAACAAGACAGAGTACCACGATATTCAATCACTAAACACCTGCTAGACAGTAGTTATTTGGTCGACCTCAAAACAGTTTTCTAAGTACTTTTTCAGGCGCGAATAAATCGAACTCTGCGCTACTTGGAAGCGGCCTACATACAGCAGGAGAAACCCGACATGCGCAAGCAGCTAGACCAAGTGGTAAAGCTTCAACTACCTTGGTATTTGGCCAGCAAGTTTTGATCACGACTTGGTTTGCGTCAACTTCCTCTCCCCTTTTTCCCCCTTTACGCTGATTTAATGAACAGTAGACGCCACGGATCACGCAACATTCGACATAGGCGAATGATTGATACTCTTTCGCTAATCGGTATTGACTCAGGTTGTGATACTGATTATCGTGTAGTCTATTCTGAATTTTATTCCGTCATGATAGGACGCGGGCTTTTTAACGAGCTTCTTTCTGACTACTAGCAAGAAGTATCTATTGTAAAAACTGGCTACTTAAGTAGTATGCCTTTTTATCATTG